ATTGAGCCACTGCACTCCATCCTGGGTGTCAGAGCGAGACCCTGTCTTGGGGTGGGTGGGGGTGGGGGTGGGGAATAAAGCTTAATTGATTGAACCAGACTCAAGAAAACAGTACTAAAATACAATTTTCTCAATACTGTAAATATCTTTTTCAATCTTCAGCTTCGTTAATTTCTATAATTTGAAATTATCCCAATTATTACCTGCATATGTACTAAAAGTCCTTAAAATGGATCTTGAGTAGTGTTTTCACAGTACAGTAATTTTTCTCTCTGTATATATTATATAGTCACCATACATGCACATACATTATACACATATTACTTTTCTATAACTTTCAGGTCAGAATTTAAAGTTGTGTTTTCTTTTTCTTTTCAATAATTGGCATCAAGTTGATATTCGTTGGAAGTAAAGGAGGAAGGAAATGAATAATCTTGAGAAACTAAGAACATCACACTTATTATTAACTCTAATTTGCATTCTCATATATTTGCTTAGCTTGGTTATTTCAAGAAGAATATAAAAATACATGTGACTGGGAATGACATGAAGAGGAATGGTAAGGTCTAGAGCAGTAGTAAATGGCTCATCACTGGAAATGAACAAGCCAAGCAGAGGTTAGATTATCCTTTGACATTGATGTTGAAGCAGAGTCCCTATAATAGATAGAAAGTTCATAGTGACATTTAGGATCTTTTTATCTTCAAATTGCTATGAAAAGTATATTTACTTTAATAATAAGGTTAAGATGTTGCAGTGCATAGAGTCAAAAACTAGAAAAGAACCAGATGTTAGAAAGGGGATTTCTTAACAAAATACAGTTAAAGAGGATTTCTCATATTTTATATGGAAAGAAGGAACTTTGATATTTAAGTAGGAACCATCCTCTAAGGGACCCTATTAGTTAAACAAGAAATCTAGAAACTAGACAAAGAAGAAAAGAATTTGGCTATATGAAAGTTAAAATTTATATTGCAAAAGATAACATAAAATTAATAGTCTAACGAAAATTCAGAAAATAAAAATACATAACAGAGATGCCAGATATCACAAATTTGTATCTATAATATGGAAATAGCTTTTATAATTTGTTTAGAAGACAACCCAATGGATAATGAGCAAAGGATATGAATAGGCAATTTTGGAAGAGAAAATTTAGATGGTCAGTAACGTTTCAAAGATGCTCAGATTTATTAACTATTAGTGATATGCAAATTAAAATGACTGAACTATCATTTTCTATGCATAAGGTTGTCAAAGATTAAAATGGTCAAAACACTTGTTACTTTGGGATGGGGATGTGGGAAGTTATTTGAATACATTGCTGTTGAAAATGTGAGTTATTTTCTTTCTTTTTTGGAAGGCAATCTGGCAATATGTATTAAAATAGAAAATACACATACTCTATGCTCCAGTAATTCCATTCAGGAAATATATCCCTAAGAAATAAAAGTACTGGTTTGTACAAGGATGTTTATTTCAGCACTGTTTATAATATAAAAAATTACAAACAAAATAATGCTTATTAACAGTAGAATGAGTGAATATAGTATATTGTAGTACAGATCATTATATTACTATCACAAAGAGCAGTATATGAATTAGAGGGACTTTCTGTGAGGCACTATTGAATGAGGAAAGAAAGATATACAGAAGTATGTATTAATATATCCAATTCCTTTGTAGAACAATAACCAAAATCCTGTTTGTGAGTTTATATATGAGTATGTGAACCTACACATTTATATGTTCATATGGCAGGGCAGCATGTAGCAAATAGCAGAATTCATACTCAGTGGATAATATGTTTTTAGAGAGTTATAATAATACAGCAGAAGTAGGAAAGAGAAGAGAGGTAGGGCACATACTAGGTAATTAGATGTGAGAATAGAACTCAAAGAGGAAGTCAAGACTCAAGATTTAAATTTGAGAGTGAACTACAGAGGCAATATTAGATGCTAACAAAACCCAGATGTAATGACTAACCCTTTAACATCTATCTGATATTTTGTTATATATTTTATTCAGTTTCTGCTTCACCTTGGTCAGCAAAAGCTCAGCAGTAGGTTTTGTAATATTTTTTGCTTTAATTAGCTCAAATAAATACATATCAATCGCTTATAACAGCTTTTATTTATTCAACAAATATTTATTGATTACCTACTTTATGGCAGGCATTGTTATGGCCCCTATAATGACAAACAAGACATACAAGGTCCCTGCATAATAAATAAATATATATAGAATGTCGGATCACATAAAAGCTATGAACAAAAAGCATTTTTCAGTGGATGAAAAGGACAGAGCAGGGAAGGGAAAAGGAGAGGAGGTTTAACTATTTTGGATAGGGCAGTGAGGAGAAGTTTTTCTTTGAGGAGGTGAATTTGACAAAAGATCTGAATGAAATGAAGAACCAGGCCAGATATACATATCTCCCAGATATAAATATCTGGGAGAAGAAACTTGCAGCCAGATAGAACAAGCAAGAAGACCCTGAGGCCTTGACTTATTCTAGAAACTTGAAGACCAGAGTGACTAAAGCATAGGGACATAGAGTTTAAATAGACGAGTTTGAAAAGGTAGGTAGGCCCTGATCTTGTAGGGTGTTGTTATTCTTGTAAAAAGATAGGATTTTTTTCTGGTTGTGATGGGAAGCCATGGAGGGTTATGAGCACTGGAAGATTATGGACATTGGAGGCTGTGCTAGTTTGGATTTAAGAAAGCTCACTTTGGTTGCTTTATAGAAAATTGACTTTAGGGGATAAGAGGAGAAGCAAAAAAGACTATACTCTAGAGTAGGCAAGAAATGAAGATGACCCTATTAAGTGGCAGAAGTAGTGAGAAAGGGATCAGATTTCAGATACATTTTGAAGGTTAAGGAAAGGGTGCTTGAAGATCATGAGAGAAAGGATTGATACATTATAATTGGGCACACTTTGGAATCACACAAAAATATTTTTAGTTTTGAATATACTTCAGTATGCCAACATTAATTATGTAGAAGGTTTTAGGCTGTTTAAAAGCAAAGCAGATAAATTAAAAAGGGGCTAGTGGTTAAAACTTCTCTTTCCTATAAATCTCAAAGCAATCACAAGACCCCTCCAAACCTCATATCGTTGTTTTTTTGTTTTTTGCTAATGGTTTAGATCACACCAGTGTTCTGCATTTCATATTCTCTCAGAACTTGCTGTGGTCCTCAATGTTGTCCTGTTGTAATGATAATGAAAGTTAAGGTAACAAAAACCACTTATTGTTTACCATGTGCAAAGTATTGGTTTAAGTGCTTTTGCTATATTAAATCCTTTTATCCTCAAACAACCCTATTGTAACAAAAACCAAGTTCAGTAGCTTGCCATTTGCAGAGTCCAATTAACTTTAAAGATAGCTAATTTTTATTCCAAAGGTAGCTTATAGGAGGAAGAATAGGCTTCCTGCCTTAAGGGAACTACTTCCCTTTTGCAGTAGAAAGCGGCCCCTTTTCAAGGGGGTTGCCTGGCACACTGGCATGAATGACATGCAGGGGAGGAAGCAAACAGGTGGGGAGCTTTGGTGCCCTATCTACTGGGTAGTCGAGCTGGTAACTGCTGGTGCCTTCTTGGGCTGGCGTAGGTTGTAAAAAGCAGCCAAAAACTTTCCAAATGGGAGAGAGTTTCATAGTGGGCATACTTTGGGTTGTAGATGGACTGTTGTCTCTTGAGGCAACCTCCTAATGGGTGAGAGTTCTGCTCTGGAGCTTCTAAGTACATAGTTAGACGAACTTGCCCTGTAGGGAATGTCAGGTAAAGAGGAAGTAAAATAGAGCTAAGTAAGAAGTTGAGGAAAGGAAGAAAGAGGAAAGGAGAGAGAGAAAAATAATTATCTCTTGGAAAAATGGAGATACACTATGAGGTAGGTGCTATAGCTGTTTTACATGTGAGGAAACTACTAGTGTGTATGTACTGTAAATAGCGTTAGATAAACTCAGCACCTAAGCCTGCTCAGCATGGCATATTATATTTTAGAGTATAGTATAGCATTTATGTTATTTCACTGATCTTATATATTTTTCTGTTTTACATGGTATTGAAAAACTGTAAGTGTAAGGTTTGAGGGAACAGGTAATGCTTTAAAATATTGGCATCTGTAAATCTGTCCTTTTTCTCTTATACTTCCAAGTTTGAATATCCTATTGATTTTTTTCTTAGACCACCCAAATATCTTGAAAATTACCATGTTTTTAAATCTAAACAGTGTCTCAGATAACATTTCACATCTAGAAGTTACAGAAAAATCTTTCAACAGTTAATGTCTTAATTTTTGATTCACAAAATATAGTCATTGTGTTACTTTATCTTTGTATCCCCAGCCCAGCACAGCACTTGGCACACAGAAAATGCTTAGTGAATATTTATTGAGTGATTGAGTGGAGAGACCAGTTTCTCTGTGTAATGTGATCTTGTTTTTACCTACTGAAGAAAGACAGATTTGCTCTCTAAGATGGGAAAATGTGATCACTGACTGCCCCAGATTAGACACCCCAGTGGAAGGAGAGAGGTTCTATCTTCTAGTATTCATGTCAGCCTTATTGAAGAACTCTGGCCCTTTTGGGGATCATATGCCTACCCTTTGGACCAATTGTTACTGCTAAAAAGTGAGATATTACAACTGGCCTAAGCCTAGGTCAAGTTTTCCTTTCAGTGGCCAAGGAGGTATATTGCATTACTGAAAGGAAAGCTGTGTGGAGCTTGAGCAAACAAAGTATGGTCTCTCCATTCAATCACTCAATAAACATGTATAATTATCCATAACAAAACTTATATAGAATTTAAATTTCCAAATAAGTCTCAACTCTTGTTTGCAAATTTATGAAAATTGCAAATTTATGAAAAAGTGCAAGTTAAAAAAAAAAACATGATATGTAAACATGGGAAATGTACATATTAGTATTTTTGTTAAGGGAAAAGAGAGAAAAGTAGAGATGAACTCTGTGAAGTGATTGAAAGATAGAAATCTTGAGTAGGCACCTTTCGGTCCAAGCAGCAGCTTCTCTGCTCCTTCTGGAATCTCTCCCTGGTTCAGCTCGCCTGCTTCCACTCCTGCCTCCACCATGTCCATCAGGGTGACCCAGAAGTCCTACAGGGTGTCCACCACTGGCCCCGGGGCCTTCAGCAGCCGCTCCTTCACGAGTGGGCCCAGTGCCCGCTCGAGCTCCTCGAGCTTCTCCCGAGTGAGCAGCACTGGCTTCCGCGGTGGCCTGGGTGCAGGCTATGCGGGGGCCAGCGGCATAGGCCCGGGAGGCATCACCGCCATCACCATCAACCAGAGCCTGCTGAACCCCATTAAGCTGGACATGGACCCCAACATCCAGGCCGTGCGTACCCAGGAGAAGGAGCAGATCAAGACCCTCAACAACAAGTTTGCTTCCTTCATCGACAAGGTGCGGTTCCTGGAGCAGCAGAACAAGATGCTGGAGACCAAGTGGAGCCTCCTGCAGCAGCTGAAAACGGCTCGGAGCAACATGGACAACATGTTTGAGAGCTACATCAACAACCTGAGGCGGCAGCTGGAGACTCTGGGCCAGGAGAAGCTGAAGCTGGAGGCAGAGCTTGGCAACATTCAGGGGCCGGTGGAGGACTTCAAGAACAAGTATGAGGAAGAGATCAATAAGCGTACAGAGGTGGAGAATGAATTTGTCCTCATCAAGAAGGATGTGGATGAAGCTTACATGAACAAGGTAGAGCTGGAGTCTCGCCTGGAAGGACTGACTGACGAGATCCACTTCCTCAGGCAGCTGTATGAAGAGGAGATCCGGGAGCTGCAGTCCCAGATCTCCGACACCTCTGTGGTGCTGTCCATGGACAACAACCACTCCTTGGACATGGATAGCATCATCGCTGAGGTCAAGGCGCAGTACGAGGAGATCGCCAACCGCAGCCGGGCTGAGGCGGAGAGCTTATACCAGATCAAGTATGAGGAGCTGCAGAAGCTGGCTGGGAAGCACGGGGATGACCTGCGGCGTATGAAGACTGAGATCTCCGAGATGAACCGGAACATCAGCCGGCTCCAGGCCGAGATTGAGGGCCTCAAAGGCCAGAGGGCTTCCCTGGAGGCCGCCATTTTAGATGCTGAGCATCGCGGGGAGCAGGCACTCAAGGACGCTTGTGCCAAGCAGCAGCAGCAGCTGGAGGAAGCCCTGCAGAAGGCCAAGCAGGACATGGCACGGCAGCTGCGTGACTACCAGGAGCTGATGAACGTCAAACTGGCCCTGGACATCGAGATCGCCACCTACTGCAAGCTTACTAGAGGGCGAGGAGAGCTGGCTGGAGTGTGGGATGCAGAACATGAGTATCCACACGAAGACCACAAGCGGCTATGCAGGTGGTCTGAGCTCTGCCTATGGGGGCCTCACAAGCCCCAGCCTCAGCTACAGCCTGGGCTCCAGCTTTGGCTCTGGCGTGGACTCCACCTTCAGCCGCACCAGCTCCACCAAGGCCGTGGTTGTGAAGAAGACTGAGACCCGCGATGGGAGGCTGGTATCTGAGTCCTCTGACGTCCTGCCCAAGTGAACAGCTGCAACAGCCCCTCCCAGCCTGCGCCTCCTGAGGCTGCCCCAGAGCCCGGGAGGGAGGTTGCTGTACAGGGGAGCACAGGGAATGGGAGACCCATCCGACGCTCAGCCCTAGCCCTCAGCCCACCTGCGGGGAGTTTACTGCCTGGGGACCCCCTTTGCCCATGCCTCCAGCTGCAAAACAATTCAATAATTCAATTGGCTTTTTTTTTTTTTTTTTTTTTTTTTTTTTTTGGTCCAAAATAAAATCTCAGCTAGCTCGGGGAGAAAAAAAAAAAAAAGAGTAGGCACCTTTCTTTTCAAGTTTCCATGTGGAGATTTTAATTCCTCTGGTCAGTCTGCAATTCAAGTTGTTTTTGCAGTCCCTGCTCATTTTTCCACTGTTTTCTTCATGGGCTCAAAGGTCCTTTGAAGTGGTAAATAAATGCACTTTGAAGCTATCACAACTCAGCTTGTGTAGCTGAACTCGCTTAGGGGCCATCATCACAGTTCCTTGTAAGTCAAGCTTGTTTCTGATAGCTATGGAGGGCATAAGAAAAAACAGAATGAGATAGAGAACCATTTGGGAAATGGGAGAGGTGTGAGTGCTGCTATGCTTTCCCCTCTATCACTAATAAACTTCTAATGCTATTCCTTGTTCTTTTAAAAATGTAACTATAGCACATTTTGCTGTATGCAGGAAGTATCCCCTAATGAAAGAATGGAGTCAGAGCAAAAGAAAACATCTAAGCTTTATTGATCTGTGCTTATCTTACATTGCTGAGAAATCGATTGATGTTTTTTAAAAAACAGTCAGGAGACTTTGTTGGATGTTGCCATTGCTGTTTCAAAATAGGGAAACAATTATGCATAAATTATGTGGAGAAAATATTTTCCTTCTAAAAATGTGTGGGAAGAAGTTACACAAAGTGAGTAAAGGTGGTAGTATTATTTAGGAACAATTCTGTTTTCACTTCGGCAACCCTAATATTAAGCAAGAGGATCTTTGTGGGGAATTTACTGTTATATTGATTGCATACTTACCCAAACAGCTTGATATAGGGATTTTTTGTTTGTTTGTTTTTGGTTCTTAAATTACATTTTCAGATCTAGAAATTTTTCCCAGCCCAAATAACAACAAAATCGTATACTCATTTTAAAACATTATTATTTTTAAAAACTCAGCTAACAACCCTAAAATGAGTGACTCCGTAGGTATTTTTACCTTCTTTTTATAAATTCCCTCAGCCGAAATTAGGATAGTGTTTTCTTTTTTCATCACTATTGAATACTATTCAATTATCTTTTCATAGAAATTATGTCGTTGTTGTATACATGGAGTTTCTGTGGCATTGGAATAAACGTGATACCATAAAAATAATTCTTAAAGATTGTCAATGTAGTGTTTCTATATCATTCTTTACAAGACTTATGGTTTCTATTGTTCTATAAAACGTGCAATTATTAAGTATTTTAAAAAATCAAACATTTGTAAACCACAATCTCCTGCATATTGTTGGTATTTTAAGTGCTATTTAGGTAACAGAAACTTTATACATATTTGATAAGATGCTTCTAAACATCATACATAAGAACAGGAATACATTTTTTTTTTTTTTTTTTAGACGGAGTTTCGCTCTTGTTACCCAGGCTGGAGTGCAATGGCGCGATCTCAGCTCACCGCAACCTCCGCCTCCTGGGTTCAGGCAATTCTCCTGCCTCAGCCTCCTGAGTAGCTGGGATTACAGGCACGTGCCACCATGCCCAGCTGATTTTTTGTAGTTTTAGTAGAGACAGAGTTTCACCATGTTGACCAGGATGGTCTCGGTCTCTTGACCTTGTGATCCACCCGCCTCGGCCTCCCAAAGTGCTGGGACAGGAATACATTTAATCCTAGACCTTGACTAACTTTTTTTTATATATACATTCTGGATAGTGTTATCTACCCCCATGACATTTCAAGTGGATTTACTTGTGTAAGTGTGCACATGATTCAAAGCACCAAATATCTGTTTGGTATTTTCAATGATTCTTGTTAGATAGCTATCCCTTATGCTAATAACTTCATCTTTCATCAAGACTAAAAATAAACTTTTGATATCTCCCTTAAGTTTTTCTCTACTTAGACTGTTTCTCTTAAACACTGTTGCCAGGTTATCTATCTAAAGGTAAAATCTCGGTCATATCATATTTCTGCTGAAATATCTCCAACAGCTTGTGTTGTGTAGAGGATAAATTCTGAACTCTAGCATGAGCTTAGAGACCATCAACAATCTGTCCTTAACCTAATTTTACTAGTTTAATAGTTTGCCCAGTGGTCCTCCTCTGACCACCATATTATTAAGCCATATTTAACCACTTGCTGTTTAACACCTGCCTTTATGAATCTGTCTTCACAGACATTGTTTGCACTGAGTATCTTTATTTTGCTGCTCAAATGTCCTTTGATTTCTCTAGGATTCTGCATCCTTAAAACACTATGCCTAGATCACTATAGCATTAATACATTATAATTAATTGTTGATGCCTTTCTCACTAGACCAGGGACCCTTTAAAAGCATAGTCTGGCCAATAATTTTGTAAATCCCTTCTCTTGTGCCCATTGTGGGGCCTTGATACGTGGTAGGTGTTGGACATGCCTTCATATATTACATTGGGTACTGATGCAGGGTTTGAACATTTTTTTCCCTCTGAAAGAATTTCTTTGAGCTGTTAAAGTGTCTAAGGAATATAGTACCTTTTTCCTTTCATAGTCTTCCAAAGTAGGACCTGTTAGAGATATTCTGGTAATTTCGTTGTAGATAGGGGAGGTAACCTTTAAGTATGAAATATAAAATGTTATAATTTACTTGATAGTAAATATTTAAAACTGAGTTAAATAGCCCAAGAGAGTTATCTATACAAACACAAGTTAGGAAAGAATGAAAAGATGGTCATTTTTAAATTATGCCAACTCTTAAATTATATCTAAATTTGTGCTTGTCCAAGTTATTTGTGTGTTTTGTTTTTGCTTGAATAGAAAATAGGGGTCATTTCAGAGTCCTAAATGTTGATTACGTGAAGCTTGTCATTCAAGCTTCCACGTAAGTTGGATTGAGTGTGTTCATTCTTAGAGGAGGAGAGATACCAGTTTTTTGCCTTTTATTATCTGATTTGTTGTTAGTCTTCATTCAGTTAGCAACAAAGTATACACATCAGTTTCAAATTTTAAAATAAGTATGACTGAATTCCAGTATTTTCTATGCAAATGTGATAGATGTGTACTTTTCTTGTTCTTTTTCTTTTTTTGAGTTGGAGTATTGCTCTGTTGTCCAGGCTGGAGTGCAGTGGCACGATCTCGGCTCACTGCAACCTCTGCCTCCCGAGTTCAAGCAACTCTTCTACCTCAGCCTCTAAGTATCTGGGGCTACAGGTGCATGCCACCATGCCTGGCTAATTTTTGTATTTTTAGTAGAGGTGAGCTTTCACCATGTTGGCCAGGTTGGTCTCAAACTCCTAACCTTGTGATCCACCTGCTTCAGCCTCCCAAAGTGCTGGGATTACAGGAGTGAGCCATCACGCCCAGCCTGTACTTTTTGTTTTTATGTCTCTAGGTATTAGTTTAGAAGATTGTGATTCATGAAATGGCAGGTGTTTTCTCTGCCTTCACAAGGTACTTACAGGTTGATTACGTTTTTCTATTCTACTATCTGCATAAGAATGCCTTTCAGTGTGTTAAAATTTGGGGTATCACTACATTGAATACTTGCATTCAGGAGGACAAATATTTCTTCTACCTTCCACCCACCAAATAAAAATCAAAACATTTTTGCTTAGGTAAAATCAAGTTAAATTGAATGTCATAAATAGTGTTGAAGAAAAAAGGAAGCCACTCATAGCATGCACCATGAAGAGTATTATGTTGAAGAGCTCCACAGGATGACTTTACCCTTTACCATGGACATGAAAACTAGTTGTCTCCAGCACTTGGCATGATGGATGACGGAGACATTAGATTATTTTAGAAGCAACAGTGGTAGTACCATTTCCACTTACCATCTGCCTAGTTTTTGCTAAATTATAGTGATATTCTCTTATCTCAAGTCAAGGTAGGGTAAGTTTTATTTATTTTTGTTGTTGTTGTTTTGCTTCAAATATTGTCCGGAATTAGTATTTATATTAGGTAGCGACAAGAGATGAGGTGAAAATAATTTCTTAAGAAAGCCATGTATTAACTTTCTAGGCAACCTTGAACAAGTCTTTCCCCCAAACTCCCTTATATAATTAAAAGATTGAGTCAGGTCATCTGAAAGATTTCTTATTGGGTAGTTACAAGTGGCTAGATAAATAGTAGTTCCACAAAATTTAATTTATAAGATAGGACATTTAATGAATTTATCGAAGCTGATATTGGGCTATAACTTAAATGGTTTTGACTCAAAGTTGAATTAATGAAGGAAAAAGTTACCTTTCAGGAGTATTTGCCCTCAGTGTGGCAAATTAAATAACATTATTGTGATTATCATCTTTACATCTTCCCCCAAACTCCCTTATATACCCAAAGGTTTCCTCTTCAGTCTTCTTTATTTCTCTTTAAATGTCTTCTTTATTTCTCTTTCCCCCTTAGTTCTTTAAGGGGGAAAAGACAATAATTTGAAAACATTTAAATGCCAACATTTTTTCACATTTAAAATCAGCAAAATAATTATTCTTAGGGCAAGACACATTGGGTAAAAATGACTCATACATATTTGTGGGACTAAGGAAGTCATAATAAAGCAAAACATTTTTTCTTCATGTCCAGTGTTAGATTTGTAAAATCAAAGTCATACGAAAACAGATGTTTAAGCACATTAATCTTCTGTTATAAAAACTAACAGACTTAAAAATGAGGTGTTTAGATCTCTCTTAGCTTGGCTTTAATTGTAAAATCGCAGGCCTTGAAGAGAGCATAATTATTACTACAGCAAACACTTAAAGATCTAAATATTTTGGAGTGTTCTATTTGAAAATTAGAGGGAGAACTAGCCACTACAAAGCCATCTACAGATCCTT